GAGGAGGAGGAGGAGGAGGAGGAGGAGCCAGAGCCAGGCCAAAGCGAAAGATCTGGCAATGGAGACACACATAAAACACCAAGCACTGCACCTCCTGCAACTCTGGGCTCCCCAAGAAGGCAAAGAACTGTCATTAACAAATCAAAAGTTATTGGCAGCCACAGAAGTATGTGGCATAGCTGTTTCTGTAAAGACCAAATTGTCGTCATCCATCACCCAGCGGCCTCCTGTGGACAGCGCCTGTGATGACAGAAACACAGAGAATGATGCAACTTACCCAGAAGAAGAGAAAAAAATGCCACGTACAGGACCTGTGCCATTTGGACCAGTGCAGAGCTTTCCCGGAAGTGTCACCCAAGTTGCTCAGAAGCACAGTGACAAATGTGTTCTCGCTGCAAAAGGTAAAGAGGAAGCAATAGTGTGGTTCCAAACCACTGAGAAACACACATGACTTGCCACAAGCAAAGCTGCTTACATTGTGTTGTTCTCTGCTAATCCCTCAAATTCAGTTGTGCAAAATTAGTTACGTTTATGGTTAAACAAACATACATAGATTAAAAATGAGATGGGACTCATCCCAGCTAAATATGTATAATTTGGCAATACTGGAGGCATTTAAGGAAACTGAATAAATAAACAAGCAATGGGAGATGTTTTCTTTTTGGCCATTTCTTTTTCTCCCATCTTGAAAAAGGAAATGAGTAAAGGGTCCCTGGAAGATGGGAACTTGGGGTCACATGAGGTGTGAACTTAACACCTGTCTAGCTTGCACACAGATTCTATTCTTAGTAGCTGTCTGATCTTAGAAAAGTTAATTAACCTTTTCTAATCTCTTTTCTAAAACAAGGATACTCATGTACCCCAGAAGACTGTTCTGAAAGCTGAATTAACTAATTAATTTGGAGCACTCAGAAAAATATTGGGTACAAGTGAATCTCAGTGACTATTGGCTGCCATCATCACCATTATAGGACATTTAAGGTCTCTCTTTCTTTTTTGTACCAGGAATCAAATTCAGGACCTTGCACTGGCCAGGAAGGCTCTGCGCTAGTGAGCTACATCCCCAGCCCAGGACATGCAAGTGCATCTTTGCACCACATCAGCATAAATACCCTGGATGGCAGAGGAGTGCCTGCCTATAACCAATAGCTTGGAGTTCTGGACAGTGTAATCCTACTCTAGTGATTGAAGGCCAGGTCACAGGTGGGAAGAACCTGTGAACATCACCTGTAGTCTCTAGGCCTAGATCTAGGTCCATCGGTAATAAATTGAACTGTTTGACACCACAGTGAATGGCAGATCACTGCTCCATCCATCCATTTATCCATCCATCCATCCATTCATGCAAACAGCCATCCAGCCATCCAGACAGCCAGCCATCCATGCATCCAGTCACCCATCCATCCAGTCACCCATCCATCCACCTATCCATCCATCCATCCATCCATCCATCCATCCATCCATCCATCCATGCAGACACCCATCCATCCATCCAGCCAGCCAGCCAGCCAGACAACAAGCCATTCATCCATCCATGCAGACACCCATCTATCCATCCATCCATCCATCCATCCATCCATCCATCCATCCATCCATCCAACCATTTATCCATCCATCCAACCATCCATCCATCCAGTCATCCAGCCAGCCAGCCAGCCAAGCAGCTTTCCATCCATCCATCCATCCATCCATCCATCCATCCATCCATGCAATCAGCCAGCCACTCATCCCTCCATCCAGTGAGCCATCCATCCAGCGAGCCATCCATCCATCCATCCATCCATCCATCCATCCATCATCCATCCAGATATCCATCCATGCATCCAGTCATCCATCCATCCATCCATCCATCCATCCATCCATCCATCCATCCATCCAGTCAGCCAGCCAGCCAGTCAGCTATCCTTCCAGTCATCCAGACACCTATCCATCCATCCAACTATTTATCCTTCCATCCAATTATTCATCCATACATCCAACCATTCATCCATCTGTTCATCCATCCACCCATCCATCCATCCATCCATCCAGACATCCATCCATCCATCCATCCACCCATCCATCAATTCATCTATCCATCAATCCATTCATCCATCTACCCATTCATCCAGCAATCAATCCTTCCCTCCATCCATCCCTCCATCCATTCATCCAAGGAAGCACTTATTTTACTGAGCCATCTCCCCAGCCCCATCTATTCATCCAGATATCCAACCATCCATCCATTCAACCATTCATCATCCATCCATCCATCCATCCATCCATCCATCCATCCATCCACCCATTCATCCATGCATCCATCCATCCATTCAGACATCCAGCCATTCATCCAGCTAGCCATCCATTCATCCAGCTAGCCAGCCAGACATCCATCCATCCATCCATGCAGCCAGCCAGCCAAACATCCATCCATCCATCCATCCATTCATCCATCCACCCACCCAGCCATCCATCCAGCCCACCACTGTGGAGCCCTTCTAGGTTCTGATAGCTGTGGTAGGATTTACACACAGAGATCTACACAACCTCGCTGTATTCTCAGGAAGCTCCCGCTTGAATTGGATAACCAGTACTACAGAGCATCTAACCAGGGCAAAGGAAATGGTAGACAGGAGAGGCTATCTGGATGGGTGAGAAATAGCCAGCAGGGAGCAAATGGGCATGAAGTGGTTGAGGAGAGGCGGTCTTCAGATTAGTGAGGCCCAGACTGTTCCCTCCTGCTGGAGTTAAAAGTTAAGGCTGGCACAAAAGAAGAGAGGAGGTGGGCCAGATTGTAATGAGCTCTGCATGCCTGGCCCAGGAGCCTGACTTCCACCCTGAACAGGAGGGAAGATATTACCAAGGGTTTGCTTGCTTTGTTGTGTTTCTTTCTGCAGAATTTATTTTAAACTTGAGTCTGATACTTCTGCCTTGCTAACTGGCTAAAAAGCAAGGAAGAGTCAAAGGTTGTGTACAAGAAGGCCAGGGATGAGAGCCTGAAGCTGTCCCTCTGAGCACTGATGAGGGCCTGAAAGTGGCACCTAAAATGCAGAAGAGGGCTGGCCAGGTAGCTCAGTGGACTAAAGTGCCTGCTTAGGCAGATGCAGGGACCCTGGTTTGATCCCCAGCAGGCCGTGCAGGCCCCGCCCCCCAGGGCGAGCTGAGAAGGGGATTGAGACTGGGCATGGTGGTGCACACCTGTAATCCCAGCACTGGGGACCCTGAAAACAGGAGGTTCACTATGAATCTGATCTCTGTAGTGAGACCCTGTAGACCCTGTAGTAAATACATAAAAAATAAAAATAAAATAAAATACAGAAGAGGAACCTGCACATGGCGGCACACTCCTGCAATCCCAGCACTCGGGGAAGCTGAGGCAGGAGGATCTGAAGCTTGAGCTCAGCCTGCAGGACTTAGCAAGACTTTGTGTTAAAAAAAATAATAATAATAAAAATTTTTAAAAGGCTGGGGATGGAGCTCAGTATGAAAGTCTTGAGTTCAGTTCCCAGAGCTGGGAACAAACACAAAACCAGGAAAACTGAGAAGAGATGCGAGATAAATGTGTACGGCCTGTACGGTAAGCTACCAAGTGCTGTTACAGATCCACGCGGAGTTGAAGCGCAGCTCTAAGCTCAAGGCGCGCCGGTGAGCCCGGCTGGAGGTGGGCAGGAAGGAGGCACAGGCCTGACTGTCACACGGGGAACAGCCTGAGGTCCCGCAAGGCTGGAGGTGGGCAAGGAGAGATAGCCTGACCTTCGGGGAGGGAGACAGCCTAGCTAACTTGGGGAGCATGGGAAGATGAGGAAAACTTCAGGGAAAGGGCACTACTTAAAGGTACAATTTATTTTTCTAGTGGGAATTATAGTAGCAAAGGGCAACAACACTCCACAAACCCAAGTCCGAAACCTCCAACTTCACTCCGCACTTCTCTCCTCATCCGTCCATCTGCGCATCCCACGAAGTCATCTCACCCTCTGCATTCTTTTTTTTGCATTAGCAATGATACTTAACAGTTACCCCCTGGTGCCAGTTGACCTACAAGTATTAAAATCTTTAGTGGAAAAAGTCTTTAGTGAAAGACCGTGAACTTTCCTTTTTAAAGTTCTGTGCATAAGGGCCGGCGAGATAGCTCAGCAGACTAAGCGCCTACTTAGGCAACCGCAGGGATGGGGACTTGATCCTCAGCACCACGTGCCACACCAGCCCTGCCCCCAGGCATGCTCAGCCAGCCACTGAGACCAGGCATGATGGCGCATGCCTGTAATCCCAGGGCTGGGAAGGCTGAAACCAGGAGGATCACTATGAGTCTGAGCTGCACAGTGAGACCCTGTACCAAATACATTAAAAACAAGAAGTGAGCATAAAAAGAAGTCTTTAGAAGAGCTCTGCCCTCTAGGAACTTGGATTTTAGTTTAGCAAATGACTATTAGTAAGAAATAGTAGGCATATAAGATAGCACGCTTCAGTATCCAATTCATGGTTCTGATGGGAAATCTGAGTGTTAAGGGCCTAGAGAGGCAGGGCAGTGACACAAGATCATTCAGAGAAGGCTGGGCTTCAGTAGGTCCTCAGAGATCCGATATAGTTTAAATAGTCAGGGAGAAGAAAAAAAAAAAAGACATGCCAATAAGAAATTAAATACACAAAGAAAGAGACTGGGGCGGGCAGGGATGTAGCTCAGCAGCACAGCACCTGCCTGGCAAGCATGAGGGCTTGAGTGTGATTCCCAGTATGAGAGAGAGAGAGAGAGAGAGAGAGAGAGAGAGAGATACAGAGACAGAGAGATACAGAGACAGAGAAAGACAGAGAGCCTGGGATGTATAGTTTGTATTTAGGGAAATGTTAAAGAGCAGCTTGCCTAGAGTGGAGATTTTACACTGATTCTCCAAGTTGTTAGTGTCTCAGATGGCCTGGGCTTGGACCCCTCTGCTATCTTCTCTGTGTCCCACATCTTCCTACAGGCTGGCCTTATGCATTTTCAGGGTAATGTCCAGGGTCCAAAAGAACCAGTGGGCATGGGATCACTTTTCAGTGATCACTAGTAACCCCAGGCCAAAGCTAGTCATATGGCCAAATCCAAAGGCAAGATATGGGTTTATAGATCCTGCCTCTTTAAAGAAAGGAAATGCACAGGGTGAGGCTAAAAAAGAAAAACAAGGGGGGCATCACTGCAATACATCTGCCAAGTGCATTAAAAAGAGAATTATTTTAGAAATAAGCATTAACTAGAGACACTCATTGCTCATAATACAGAGTATCCCATATTCCTAAAATATAAACAACCCAGTTAATGCTGTGGAACTTCTTATTCCTGGCTGTTGCCAAAATAATTTTTCTTTTTCTATTTTAGTGGCTCCATTTCTGCCAGAATTTAACATTGACAGGGTAATGTCGCTTCTTTGCAGGAGAGAAAAA